GGACGTGCCGCCTCCTCTTGCTCCTGTTTTCAGCATCTCGAAGGCCCAAACGAGCTACATTGCAGAAGGGACAGCAAAATGGAAACACAAAAGACTAGAGCAATGACTCGAGCTTGTCTTTTGTCCTGGTACTGCATGCTTATGTCATGTGTATTTACATCTCAAATATAATGGTACATGGGTTTAGAAGCTTTACATCTTATCGCCTGATTTGTATACTGGTTTACTGTGAAAGGGTTACAAACAAAACTAATAGAGGCTACCATAACAGCAGCATGAACAGCGGCTTGAGTACAGTATGAACATGTTGTAATATGCCGTTGGATGTCACAATGAGGGCACACAGCAGCCTCAAATGAAATCAAATCGTACTTGGTTGCTCCATGCTGCAAAGCAAAGCTCACAATCAGATGGAAGGTGGGAAGGACTGGAGAGGGAAATTAGAAACAAGGAAGGGAGGGAACGCAGGTGAGTCACAGTGTCGTGTAACCACCCCAGCCCTTCGAGTTACATGCCTGTTGAAGACAATAACAGGGTTGAAAAATGACAAGAGAGAGGAGGAAGGGCTGAGAGAGGGGAGGAACGGATGAGAGGAGTGAGGAAGGGATGATAAAAGGGGGGAGAGAGGAGAACAGGGGGGGGATAGGAGGACAGGAGGGAGAGAGGAGGACAGGGGGGGGAGAGGAGGACAGGGGGGGGATAGGAGGACAGGAGGGAGAGAGGAGGACAGGGGGGGGGGAGGAGGACAGGGGGGAGAGAGGAGGACAGGGGGGAGAGAGGAGGACAGGGGGGGAGAGAGGAGGACAGGGGGGGGAGAGGAGGACAGGGGGGAGAGAGGAGGACAGGGGGGAGAGAGGAGGACAGGGGGGAGAGAGGAGGACAGGGGGGGAGAGAGGAGGACAGGGGGGGGAGAGGAGGACAGGGGGGAGAGAGGAGGACAGGGGGGGGGGAGGAGGACAGGGGGGAGAGAGGAGGACAGGGGGGAGAGAGGAGGACAGGGGGGGAGAGAGGAGGACAGGGGGGGAGAGAGGAGGACAGGGGGGAGAGAGGAGGACAGGGGGGGGAGAGGAGGACAGGGGGGAGAGAGGAGGACAGGGGGGGGAGAGGAGGACAGGGGGGAGAGAGGAGGACAGTCGGGCTTGACGAGGCAGTAAGAAGAAGAGGAAGCGGTACGAAGATAGAGGAACAGGGAGAAGAGGGCAGGCGGGAAGGATGCTGGCCTAGACAGCGTGGAAGGCAAGAAGGGGGGGGAACAGGGGAACCAGGGGGGGGAAACAGGGGAACCAGGGAGGGGGAAACAGGGGAACCAGGGAGGGGGAACAGGGGAACCAGGGAGGGGGAACAGGGGAACCAGGGGGGGGAACAGGGGAACCAGGGGGGGGAACAGGGGAACCAGGGGGGGGAACAGGGGAACCAGGGGGGGAAACTGAGCGCAACCAGGGGGGGAAACTGAGCGCAACCAGGGGGGGAAACTGAGCGCAATCAGGGGGGGAAACTGAGCGCAATCAAGGCTGGGAACTGAGCGCAATCAAGGGGGGGAACTGAGTGTAGTCTGAGAGGGGGGAACTGAGCGCAAAAAGGGGGGGAAACTGAGCGCAATCAGGGGGGGAAACTGAGCGCAATCAAGGCTGGGAACTGAGCGCAATCAAGGGGGGGAACTGAGTGTAGTCTGAGAGGGGGGAACTGAGCGCAAAATGCGGTAGAAACTGAGCAGCGAGAAAGACATGAATTAGAATGATCGTTGCGACGTGGGCGGATTGGGAGATGATGCGACTGAAAACGGAGAGTGAGAAGGGGGAAAGTGGCCTCCGCAGAATCAAAGAAGCAGCTATTGAAGGGACAATAGGTGAACGAATGGGAAGCGGAGAGAAGGCGGCGGGGTGGAAAATCAGGGCGTCGGCGCTAGAGAGGGGAGTAGGCATGGGCGACGGGGAAAGGAAGAGAGGGCGAATAAGATGGAGATTCGACGAAGAGTAGGCGGCGGGAATGAGAACGACGTCGACGCAGCGACAGGTGGGAGAGCAGAGGTTGACGGGGCGAGCGATGGGGAGGGGAAGCGAGGGCGACGGGCGGGGGAAGCGAAGGCGACGGGCAGGGTAAACGAAGGCGACGGGCGGGGTAAGCGATGGGACGGGCGGGGGAAAGAGAGGGCGACGGGCGGAGGAAGCGAGGGCGACGGGCGGGGGGGCGGCGAGAGCGACGGGCGAGGTGTGGACGGTGGGCGGAGACAGCAAGGGCGACGGTCGAGGGTCGCGAGGTCGGCAAAGTGCTAAAGTCTCATCTCCTCACGCCCATTTTTTCCGTGCTTGACACTCGCGTCTTGCGCCTGTGTTTCCCTTCAATTGCATATTCGCGCGGCACCTACTATTTCAGGTTGTCTGCGATGTGTTCACTAAAAAACCCTATCTGGTGTGCGATGGTCAGATTCTAAAAGCGAGTGAATGAGTTGTTAGCTGTTCTGTCGCACCGATTTTCTTACTCTGCTCCAGTCCTCATGATGTCGCCTTTTGTTTTCGCTTGCTCGCAACTTTCGCGATTCTTACAAACCTCACCCAAACCAACCCGAACCTAACCCGAACCCAGCGTTGACTCAGATATGTAATTCAGGCTTCGGGTTTTAAAGTGTCCCCTGGGACAGATGTGGGCAAGGTTCGGGTCAGGCTAAGGTCAAAGTGAGCTTTGGGTGAGGTTTGGGTCAGTGACATTTTGGTGATGCAGTAGGGCAGCAGTGGCACCCCTGCGTACCTGGTGTGCGGAGGTATAAGGTGAGGTGAGGCAAATGGTCGCAGCGAAAAGAGCGTTGGGAACAACGCGCCTAGGCAGACAGACGGACAGGTGTTCGTGGCCAAGGGGGCGAGGGAGCGCACAGGAAGAGAGGCGGACGGCAGCAGGCGCTAGGCGGAGAGCGGGCGCAGAACAGTGACGAGAGCAAGGATGCGCGGAAGATAGTACTACGAGTGACACGAACGGCGCCGCCGTTCGTACTGGTTTCGTAGAGGCGATCCGAGTCACGTTTGCGATGGGAGATAGCGCTCTTGTAATGTACGTCTACTAAGTCATGACTCATCACACCCTACTTGACACTAAACTTAGTACAATCATGCCTTGATCAGGCAGGGTACGAATTTGAGGCGACTCCAGTTTCAATGTCAGAGTTCGTGAGTTACCTGCTACACAAACTGAACAACATTCGCATTCCAAAGCATTATTTTTTTCGTTCACCTGACCGACATTTGCGCAGTAGCAGTTACCCTTTTAGATGCTGTTTTGCCAGCTTCGTACACTTATGATTAAATGAGGTGAGTCTGGTAACCCAGCATGAACAAGGTAAACCATGCGACCTGAACCACTGTCACAGAATCGAGCGCTGCTCCTGCAATGTGAGCACACGAATGGACATACCCGCACGCTTCCCACCATCTTTGTTTCCGCATGGCAGAATCTTCGAGCCGCTTGGCGTTACTAGTTATCAACACGGAGTATAGTATTTTCGAATCCGCATAGCAGTTAGTTTCAGTCATCGGAAAACCATACTTCTTCTCCCTCCTCGCGGTATCTTATCTCCTCATCTACCGCTCGCTCGCTTTTATATTTTCTCGAAGCATTCACTCGAGTGAAATTCGCTTCCGAGGTTCGTTTGGCGTATCCGGCGCCGGCTGCGGAGCTCAGAGCCAAGTGAATTCGCTAGTCTCAGCACGACGTTTCAATATAAGAAACCCTAGACAACAGGTAAGGTTGGTCCCGTCACTGCATTCATTTCGACTTGCCATCAGCCACGACCATCCATCATACTTTTCCTGCTTTCGCCGATGCTCCCGACCCTGTTTCTTTCATCCTCGTACCCACACATCCCCACCGTCTATATTCCCCATAGCTTAACACAACAAGAATTCTCGCCGTTCCATCAACCCAGTCTCAGGAACAGCTATAAGAAACGTCTTTTCAGCTTAAAATGTGCTAGCTCGCATTTTCTCTACCAAGCTCCCCCCTTCGTAAAGCTCGCACTGCTGATTTTCGGTTTCACTGCTTGGATGTTGTCACGAGCAGCGGGTGAGGCGAGTATACTCGCGTTTTGGTTTGCGTTGCTTGAGAACTAGGTGTGGAGTACCACTCGCATTGTTGATCTCATTAAGGAGCGGGAATCTCTTCATAACAACACCCGCCTTATCCTCCACACCCACCCTGCCATGCCAGGGAATCCACCCTGCCCCCTCTCATGCCCACCTGAAAACCCACACACCCTGCCACACATGGAAACCATACTTACTAACCGAGCAAGTCCTTTTGAAAACGACCTCCCCTGGCAATTCAGGTGGGGTGGAAATCAACCTTCTGTAGCATTTGCGCTTTCCCTTTTGGGTGCTCTATTCAGTTCAGCATGCCATCCGTTCCTTCATTCCACTTGTTTAGGTTTGCCTTGTTCGATTAACGAGGTTGAGCGAGTATTACTCACATAAAGTAGTTCTCTCCCCACACCGCCACTCGCCTTCTGGTGGCGGTTGTTGCACAGAACGAGGCAAGCAAACACTCGCCTCGCCCTCAACACCCGTGCGGAAACCCACCCTGCACTATCAAAGCAGCAGGCCCCCCTCCCACCCACACCTGATAACCTATCTGACCAGCCGAGCGAGTTAACTTGAATGGGCCCACCTCTGGCAAGTCGGGCTGCGGGTAGGTTTTTCCTCGCCATTTCCAGCCGAGTAGGTGTTTGCTTTCTCGACAAGCGTTGCTCGCCTCCCTTCAGTCGAGTAATTTGGACAGTTCTATTTCTGGGTTGAGTAATATGGCTGAGGCGAGGGAGTAGAAATATAAGGCAGAGTATGTACCCACCGTTCGCTCATGTGTACTTGCATTGGATGAAACTCCTGGTCCGTCTTTTCAAGTTTGAGTCCCTGTTTTCCTCCATACGTTCACCTCCACCCGATCTTGATGTTCCACAGGCCCATCCGCTTGGTTGCGCATTCCGCAACGAGTAAGCTGGTTGAACTCACTAGGCACTGATGGATATGGAGAGGGAGGCTAATTCAATAGCTGAAGGGATGAAGGGGCTATTCGGTTTGATGAGAGGGGAGCTGGTGGCAACGAAGGGGGACCTGGCAGCATTGAAGGGAGAGCTCGCGGCAGTTAGGGAGGAGTTGAATCGACAGAGAGAGCGAGTGTTGATGCTGGAGAGGAGGAGTGCTGTAGTGGAGAACGAGGTGAATGCGTTGAGGCGTGCACTGAGTGCCGTGGGAGAGAGGAGCGTGGCGACTGCTGCTGTGGTGGAGGAAAGAGGGAGAGAGTTGGCAGCTGTGAAGGGGGAGGTGACTGCTGTGAAGGGGGAGGTGACTTCAGTGAAGGGAGAGGTGACTGCTGTGAAGGGGGAGGTGACTTCAGTGAAGGGAGAGGTGACTATCGTGAAGGAGAAACTGACTGAACACAAGGGCGATATGGCAGAGCAGTTGGCTAGGATTGAAAGAAGAGGAGAATCGGACTTGAGGGAGTTGCATGAGAAGGCTAGAAAGAGAAAGGCTGTTTCGGCTGATGGCCCCGCCCAAGGGAATGTTGACATCCCTAACCCCCCGACCCCTCTCAGTGCCGCTGACAAGGCTTTCATGAAGCAAATGTTTCGACCTTGGATCAAGGCATCCACTGTCCACGACGCATGGAGATTATGGAACTCGCCTTTCGGGGGGGTGGGACTGACACTACGGGACGAGATGGCTGCGGGGGGCTTCACCAAGAAATACGCCCTTGTGACAGCGGAGGACTCAGCCATGCAGCGGCAGAAAAGGTTGATGGTTGCCGTATCCGAGTATGTGGCGGCACGAAGCGGCGGGTTTGAGGAAGTGGTACGGATTCTGGACGATATCGGGGCACGTGTTGGGTTCACGACGCTTCGTGACGGGCTGACTGTGAGGAGTGGCAAGGCCAGCTCGGAGTCGTTTGAGGATTTGAGGAAGAACCAGAGAGTCTGCGAGAAGGTGAAGGTGGCTCTCGAGCTTGTGCGGGCTGGTCTGGAGGACGAGGCGTGGGGGCAACAGCAGTACCCCAACAGCTGGAGTTCGTGGGTCAAGGAGTTTGAGGGGCTAAGGAGGAAACGGCCGCGTGAATCTTAGCCTCGTTTGCGTATGTAAGTACGTGCTAATGTATCACACGTGTTTGAACAGTAAAAGATATCACAACACAAATCCATTTTCTCCCTTCCATTGCCCTTGTCTGCTACTCTCACAGTTCCTGCCTCTGTCCACTTTCATGCATGCTCGCTCAGAATCCTGCCTCTGTCCACTTTCATGCATGCTCGCTCACAATTCCTGCCTCTCTCTGGTCTCCTCTGCCTCACCCCACCCCACCACCCCTCTGCTGCTGCTCTCCTCGTCCACTTCCTCTTCACTGCAACTTCGCTCGTTATTTGTTCCCTTTCCACTGCCCTTTCGACCCCTGCTCCCCCTCGGCTGCTTATATCCTTCCTCCCCTCCTTATTTGTTCCCATCCCTCCCCTGGTTGTTCCTTTTTGTTGGTCGGTTATATTGGATTGAAATCGAAAGTGGTTGTTAGTTGTGTGCTATATGTTTGTCTGTTCTGTGTTTTCTATAGCTCTGCTTTGTCTAGGCTCACATGCTGTATTAGACTGTAATTCCTGATCCCCAAATATCCACATCCCCCATCCTCCCTGCCCCCCCCTCCCACGCTTCCCAGACCCCCTTCCCTCAGTCTGCTAAGCTTCTTCTCTTTCGGACTTCCCTTGCATCATCACTCCCACCAATATCACCTACCACCACGCTACTCATCATCCCCCCTACACCAGGACCCGATAGTGGAGTGCTACATACTTCGTGAGGCCCCTGTTCTTGCACTGCAACCCCCTTGCAGTCTGCTCCTCCGCTACCCCTCCAGTTTCCACATCGCCCCTCAAGCAAGCCATGGCCCCCGGGTGCGTCGCTGAGAGGTTTGGGAGGAAATGGGTGTGGGTAGGGAAGGAGGTGGCGGAAAGGGGCGAGGTGGTGGTGGCTTGGACTTACAGGAAGCGACAGGAGCTGTGCACACACACTGTATGGGTATGCTGTACATATAATACTGGTCTAGATATCAAAGCTTAAAGTAACGATAAGACTGCTGCTCTCGGGGTGGCCCCACCTTTCCCTTGACAGATGCATTTATTGCTACCAGGTTGGTATTGTGGTATTCAATGTGCGAGTGGGGTAGCAAACTAGCATTGGTGCCTTGCTTTCTTATGCCTCCCCCTCCCACCTCTTCCCCCCCGTCTTCCTGTCCATTTCCTGCCCACTCGGCGAATGTTCGCTGAACGTGTTAGAGGTCCCATGACAGCATGCCCCCCATGACAGCATGCCCCCACTGACGCCCTTGCTTGCTGTCTTACCTCTTCCCCTCACCTCCCCCCTCGTACCTCTCGTCCTTCATCCCCATCCATTTTCCTGCCTGCATTGATGTCCTCGTCACAGTTAGCTCATGCACCTCAGTGCGGACAGACTCTCTGTTTGTGTATGGTGTATGATTCATGTGCATCTTGTGTGCATCGTTTACAGTGCATGGTATGTCCATGCCGGTTGTGGTTGCCACTGAGTGGTTGTGTGGGGGGTGCCTTCCTTTCGTTTCATGCCAAGAACAGCCTCTTTCTTCTCATCATTCCGTCCCCTTCTCCTCCCTTTTTCCCCCCCTTCCTATCCGCTTCCCATCCCCTTCCCCACCCTTTTCCTTCCCCTTTCGCTCTCCTTCCCCTCCCCTTTCCCTCCCCTTCCAGTCCCCTCCCCCCTCCCCTTCCCCTCCCTTTCTCTTCCCCTTTCCCTCCTTCCCCTCTCATCAAATTCACTTGAATCAGCTCCCCACCTGTTCAAGCTCGAGAGCCACTGCCTGCTTGTGCCTTGACACGCACGTCAAGGAGGTCACAGCTCGGCTCTCTTTTGCTGCAAAAGAGATGCCTTCGGGTGAGTGCTAATGGGGGTTGATGGGTGGTGAGGTTGAAGGCCGGTGCTGAGCGGCAGTGATAGGGATGAGATGTGCTGCAGCTGTTGTTGTGCTCCGTGACTCATTTGTTGAGACAGAGATCATCCAACGTTCATGTGGATGTGAGGGAGCATAGATGGGCAATGTGGGCCTTCCCTACCAGCTGTCTTCACACTTCTCTTCTCACCCTTATTTTCACGCCTCGGGTCAACTCGTCTCCCCACACGACCTGGACAACCGCATCCACTCGCACATGCCACACTTCTGACCTTCTCCCCACTCCCCATTTTTTCCTTCTCCCTTTCACCATGCCAGCAACCCTCCTTCTCCCACCCCCATCTTTCCCGCTCTTACCACCACCCCTTCCCTTGTGCCAATAGCTCAACAACCGCATCAACTCGCACATGCCTGAATCCACTGAGGGCGAGAAGGGAAAACACAAGTTCACGCTATCAGAGTATATGTTCTGGATGAACATGTTGACGGAGTCAAAGACACAATTCCATACCTTATCCTGCACCTCATCTCACACCTCATCACATACCCCAGCTCATCCCATGCTGCACATTTCTTGCAACTGTCGTCTCTGAATCACGCTCGTTTGCCTCAGTCCCTTCCCTCTCGTGTGTGCCCCTCACTCATGCCTGCCCAGCCCATCACTCAATAACAGCATAATCCCATCTAGCACAGATAGTTGCCACACAGCGGCAGAAGATGAGTCAGGAGTAACCAGCCGCAAGGGGTGCACAAATCACATATTGTTATTTTCTCAAGGCATTGGCTGGCAGATGGTGGATCTCAGATCATTATACTGATCAATATGATGGGATTGGTTGGGGAACATTTAGTCAAGCTGGCATCCTCCTATGCAACGGGAGCATTCCTATGTAATGCAAGGCACAGATACCGGTACCGGTACAATCACATAACAAAACCTATCTTCCAGGCTTTACTTAGCTAACAACTTAAAAATTCTGGACAGCAAGGCTTCCCCCACAGTACCGCTTGGCTTGTGTACAGCATGATCCCAGAGCCAGGCAGGCATGGCTTATGCAGCGTGCCTAAATGCACCTGGCCTCAGCATTGTCTGATGGGGAACATTGGAGCAGTATAAAAAAAGCATGAACAATTGTGCAGACCTTACATGGTCCATTATGTACACTATGTATATTATCTGTGGAGACACTTCGCACCCAAACAGCCACGCATATCTTATGCAGCTCCCCTCATGCAGCCATGCGAGACACTACCCACCCCTGGTCTCACCCTCGCCCACCGCTGCTGCTTCTGCCACTGCTGCCGCCGCTGCAGCTGCCACTGCTCTGCTGCGCCCACCATGCTCGTCCCTGATTGCTCTCTTGCTTGCCCTTGTCCCCAGCTTCCCTGCCTCCCCTCCCCTTCCCCTCCCGCTCCGCCTTGCCTCCCCCCTCCCCTCCTCCCTTCCCCGTCCGCCCTGCTGATGACCGATCCCCCCTCCATCATATGAAGTGCCAGGCATGCATTTCCTATGCAGCTCCCCTCATGCACACGAGGGTCTCTTGCCCAAACAGCCCTGCACCTGCTTCTGTCCAACTCCAAGGCATGAGTTCCACACGACCATTCTCCAACTCCATGCAACATGCAAGTTGAACCGTACACAGCCACCATTCCATGCCTCACTCCTTCGCATGCCCTCCTCTCCTCCTCAGTCTTCCCTACCAAGACACTGTCACGCCCCCCTCCCCTCGCTCCCGTTCCATCATCACTCCTTGCCACCCTACCAGCCTATCAGTCTTCGTACATCATCGTTGAAAAGCTGAACCCCTTCTGGCGTGTAGAGAGATGTCAGCTTGGTCAAGGCAGTCAGGTGCTGCAGCCCTTCATCTGTGACTGACGAATGCTCCACATCAAGCCTCTCCAGCCCTGTCAGCCTCCCCACATGCACCATGCCCGCATTTGTCACACCCTTGCAGTTGGAAATGCTTAGAATCTTGAGAGAGGACAGACCCGTCAGCTGCTGCAGCCCATCATCTGTAACTGCGGTCTCGTGTAGCCAAAGTTCCTCAAGCCCTGCCAGCCTTCCCACGTCCACCATGCCAGCAGTTGTCACACCCATACATTCAGAAAGGTTTAGCGCTTTGAGAGAGGAGATACCCATCAATTGCTGCAGCCCAGCATCTGTGACTGCCGTCTCATCCAACCTAAGTTTCTCAAGCCCTATCAGCCTTCCCACGTCCAGCATGCCAGCACTTGTCACACCCTCACATTTCGTAAGGCTCAGCACTTTGAGATAGGGCAGACCCATTAGTTGCTGCAGGCCAGCATCTGTGACTGCCGTTCCATCCAGCACAAGTTCCTCAAGCCCTAGCATCTTTCGCACCTCCACCATGCCAGCAGCAGTCACCTCTTCGCATTCCGTAAGGTGCAGCTTTTTGAGAGAGGCAAGACCCGTCAAGTGCTGCAGACCAGCATCGGTGACATCGGTTTGCCAGAGATAGAGCTGTTTGAGACTGGTCATGGACCCAATTCCTTCCAACGCACTGTCAGAAACGGCTGTGTGATCCAGGTTTAGCATCTCTAGCTGTGGCAGCCTGTAGAGGTGCTTGATGCCCTCTGCACTGAAGCCCGAGGTGTAGTTCAAGTCAATGCTCGTTAAGTGCGTCATTGTGGACACATGGGCGAGGATGTCGTCTGAGAGGCCGTGGAGGTCCGCCAAGTCCAGATTGGGATTATGTGATGCTGCCTTGATTGCCTGGCAGAAACGAGAGGAGGGGGGAAAGGAAAACATGACAAGGGATGGGATGATCACAGTGACAGGAAAGAACTAGAAATCAATGCAGGCCTTGTGAAGCAATTCACTCAGCACCCACCTCCCATGCAGCCTTCCGATCGCCTTCACTCTGCCTGATTTCCTCATCAACATACAACTTCACATCTTGTATCCTTTGCCAAACCTTACAGGCTGCCAAATCCTCCATGGCATGTGGCCTATTCACCTCATGCACCTCCCTCCTCCTCTCCTCCTCCCGAGCAAAATCCGATGTCATTGCTTGCCTTCTCTTTCTGCCCTTCCCTCTTAGTCCTCTTACAGCCGATGGCCTACCTCTCTCAGCACGTTCCATAGTGCCCTTGTGTACCGCTAACTCTCGCTTCACCGCTGCCAACTCCCCCTTCACTGCTGTCAACTTGTGCCGCAGCTCATCCACCTCCTCCTTGTGTGCAGCCAGCTCCTCTCTCACTGCTGCCAACACCGCCTCTTTAAGAAACTCATTCATTGCACTCGTCACTCTCTCAGCAGCCATACCATCCACTTACTCCCCTCAACGACCCTCCTTTAATGACTGACTGCTCACTGCGTTCAACTGCCTTTGTCAGCTGAGGCTGGTGAAGCAGGCACAAGAAAAGAGGACGAGGAGAAGGCAGGGTAGTGTTGAGTGCGTTGAGAGAGAAGAGCAACGCACAATGACACGAGAAGAGGGAGGGGAATGAATTGGCATATCAGATAATTCCATGGCATGAGTGTGAGGGAAGGGGCGGGGTGCGAGTAGGAGAAGTGCTAAGGAGCAAACAAAGAGGGAGACCTGATGGCAAGATGGAGAAATTGATCAAACACATGTGTGTGTTAAGCAGGTGAAAGTTGGTGTTTGTGCACATACATGCATTTGACATGCATTGAGATGGCAGCGGTACGAGGGGAGGCCAGGAGGAGGAGGAGCATAGGGGACCAGATGTCAGGAGGGGCAATGCGAGCGAGCTTATCTGCCTCTATATAGGAAGCTAAATAGAAAAGCCAAGGCAGAGGGCTAATCCCTTTTAACACCTTACAAAACGAAAGTGCATTCACTGTGTAGTAAACCGATACTGACACTCCCACCACACCTTGACATCTATACAAGCAGGTGAGTTGAGGGTCGCAAAAAGCGGCAGTAGAACCAAGAGAAAGAGGCCAGAACGGAATTTGAGACCTATGTTGGATTATACGCTCTAGACCCTTAGCGTTTAGCGTATCTACGCTAGCGTGTACGCGCAATACGCTAAACGCTAGCAAATACGCAATACGCAGCCATAATTTTTTTCGGGCAGCCCGGAAAAGTAAAATCGCGAAAAGATGCGGATTTTCTTGGTGAACATTTCGCCGAAGTCGAAATGCAAATCCGCGGTCTATGCAAGCTGGGATCTGACTTCGAAGTTTTCAGGCACATCTGGCTATTCAAATGTCGAATTTCAGGTCCCATCTAGGCATTTGAACCCATCCCCTCTACCGCATTGAAAACCATCTTATCTACGAACTCCAACCTATCAAAATCGAACCCCCAACAAATCTCACGCTACTTACCAGCCAGCCCAACTCCTAACCCATCATTCCTACCTTGCATTCCCGCTTGCAGCAGTGTCCCCGCGCGCGCACTCCAACTTGAACAGCCTCTCCAACACTACTCCCTAAAGCTATGATGTCTACTCCCCGTCCCACCCCACCCGCCGATCGGACTCAGGAAAATGCTAGGGCACGTCTTAGTGAGATGTTTTTTCCACCGATAGGGGGTAATTTTTTTCCACCCTGCCCGAAATGTTTTTTCCCTGCCCGAAAAAGCGTATGCCTGATCCGACCCTCAAGCGTATGGCGTATACACGCTAGCGTATATACGATACGCATATATACGCTAAACGCGTATAATCCATCATAGTTTGAGACGGGAAGACAGCAAGATGGGAAGCTGCATGAGAATACGGAGCAGCAATGACCACAAGGCGAAGAGCTCAGCTCAGCTTGACTGGCATGAAATATGATATTGTGGCTCTGCCAGCCATGCTTCTTACCACAGTGACGCAGGCGAGGGATGCCTGAGCGAGCACACAACGAGGGGATCTGAAAGCACGAGTGAGCCAAGGGAGACAACAACGGCAATGAATGCCATGCAACACAGTACTGTTTGACGTGCTCTTTGAGCCGAGATGGAAGATTCCTGAGCTGTATTCCTGAGCTGGCTGGTAGGGCTCAGACTTTGGGGCTGACCGGAAACCAATGTGCCTCGGCTCGCACTGGTGGTTTTCTATTATATGCTTTCCAAGTCAGCACTGACGCATTCAAGTCAATACCTCGCTATTCATATCTCCTGCATTGAATGAAGTCGCCGGAGAGCGTGACACATGCCAAATCCAACGAGATGGTGGATTACACCTAGAAAAGGTTGAGACAGGTTTGGCTCACGGGACACAAGCTAGGTCAAGGTTAGGTCGGGTACAACCTAGGTCACTCGCTACGTTGTTCACAAGCTAGTCCTTTCATAGATAGGGCAGTATACGCTAGGTCAGTCACAATCTGAGTCAGTTCAAGGCTAGGAGGTTACTACTCACTGGCTTGGTCACTCACTGGCTTGGTCACTCACTGACTAGGTCACTCACTGGCTTGGTCACTCACTGACTAGGTCACTCACTGACTAGGTCACTCACTGACTAGGTCACTCACTGACTAGGTCACTCACTGACTAGGTCACTCACTGACTAGGTTACTCACTGACTAGGTCACTCACTGACTAGGTCACTCACTGACTAGGTCACTCACTGACTAGGTCACTCACGGACTAGGTCACTCACTGACTAGGTCACTCACTGACTAGGTCACTCACTGACTAGGTCACTCACTGACTAGGTCACTCACTGACTAGGTCACTCACTGACTAGGTCACTCACTGACTAGGTCACTCACTGACTAGGTCACTCACTGACTAGGTTACTCACTGACTAGGTCACTCACTGACTAGGTCACTCACTGACTAGGTCACTCACTGACTAGGTCGCTCACTGACTAGGTCGCTCACTGACTAGGTCGCTCACTGACTAGGTCACTCACAGACTAGGTCACTCACTGACTAGGTCACTCACTGACTAGGTCACTCACTGACTAGGTCACTCACAGACTAGGTCACTCACTGACTAGGTCACTCACTGACTAGGTTACTCACTGACTAGGTCACTCACTGACTAGGTCACTCACTGACTAGGTTACTCACTGACTAGGTCACTCACTGACTAGGTCACTCACTGACTAGGTCACTCACTGACTAGGTCACTCACTGACTAGGTCACTCACTGACTAGGTCACTCACTGACTAGGTCACTCACTGGCTAGGTCACTCACTGACTAGGTCACTCACTGACTAGGTCACTCACTGACTAGGTCGCTCACTGACTAGGTCGCTCACTAGCTATTTCGGTCAAAATTCAAGTCAATCAGGAACTAGCTCCGACACAATCTAGGTTAGTCAGGAGCTATGTAAAGTCTGAGGCTGTGTTGGTCACAGTCCGAAGCTGGGTCGTTTACAAAATAGGTCAGTCGGAAGCTTCGGCAGTCACAAGCTAGGTCAGTCCCCAGGTCAAGCACAAGCGAGGTCAGCCACACGCAAAGTAAGGCACAGGTTGGGTCACTCACCGCCTAGGTGGGTGTGTCACAGGCTAGCCCGGTCAGAGCCTGGAAGTGGCAGCGTGAATATATGGACCAGGGTGAGGAAAATCAGCACGGGGAGGGGCTGGGACAACAATGCTAAGCAAGACTGCGTCAAGGGGCTTTGCTAGTTTCTATGCGGTGTGCAGACTTCGCAAGGAATCTGGAATTTAACCAAAAGCTGCACATTGGCCTGACAGACAGAACTACGAGCGCCATGGTTCGTTCGTAGGGTGTGAGCCTCATGCTTGCAATGCGGAGCCGACCGGGGAAACGTGAGATGCTTACCTCTATTTAGGGTTTCTGATACTGTCGTGTTCCTACGGCTGTCGAAGTGACTCAGCAGCGGCGCGGGTAAGTCAATCTGCAGTGCGTGGTGCGTGATGATGGCGAGTCTTAGCGAATTCCGAGAGTGTTGCGCGGGAATGCGGCGGAGACGAGGCGGAGCAAAGTGACGGGAGGACACGACCCGCGCGAAAGATGATATTACTACAAATGGGCGAGGGAACGGCGCCGCCGTTCGCCCTGGAGGCGATTCGTGTCACCTCGTCTTGCAATGGGAGGATGCGTTCCTACGATCTAGATGTTTGTGTAGAACGGCTTCTAATTATGTCGAGGTTCTGCTAGTACCGCAAACAAGAGAAGTTGGTTGGCGGGGTGGTTTGGAGGGCGAAATCGGCGAGAAATATTTGCGAGACTTGACGAAAGGGCTTTCGTGCATCCAGCAAGGCAGCTTGGAAACAGCATTGCTGACGAAATTAAAAGTGCCAACTTGGAAACAGCATTCCCCCACGCCTCCATTTCCTCGTCTAACGCCATCCCTTTCACATCACTCATCTCCTCTCAGGGCGTGGAGGCCAGACCCATCGCCACTTCTGCATGTGAGCAAGCAACCACATTCTCCCCGCGCACCCCTCCAGCTGTCGCCATGCTCGATGAATGCTCGCGGCACCTCTCTTAGCCCGTCTCGAATTGCATCCCGTGCATCATACATAATGATGTTTCGTTTGGTAGTCCTTCCTGATAGCCAAAATCCGTGACCTATACCGCCAGATTTGTGGATTTACGTCTCAGCCTCACGATGTCGCGATGTGATGCTCACCGGCGCAGGCATCCACTGGCGACATTCGCACCACCAGAGTGCTTCGCTGCTCTCGCAAAAGCGAACGCCAAAGAACGTCGTGGGGGTAACGCCACGTACGCCAGAATAGTGATGGCCGAGTCCGGAGCGACTCGTTATGGCGGAGCGAGCACGAAGACATGCACTGCGGGATGAGGTTGGGGCGGAAGGGAGACAGGGGGGCGTTTGATTCCGCCAAATGACGAGGGGGTGTATGGATTTAGATTGGGTCAGCAAAGCGAAGCATCATGCCGTCGTTTGCCCAGCAATGCTGCGATCGCTAACCGTCGCGTGCGACATGGAAAACGATTTTCCACAGTGCGTGAAAGCGACGGGGGAAGAGAGGGGGGCGTCGGCTCCGCCAAGTGGCGAGCGGGTGTATGGGGTCGGTCGGGATTGGGTGGCACAAGGAAGCAAGCATCATGCCGTCGTTTGCGCATCACTGCTGCGATCGCTGACCGCCGTGCCGTGTACGACACGAACAGCGATTTCCGCGGCGCGTGAAAGCGGCGAAGGCAAAGGGCGAAGGGTGACAGTCGTGCAACTGCAAGGCGAGTGGAGCGGCGGCTTCGAGCTGATCCATTCCCCGCCTCCTCCGCTCCTCGTCCTTGTCGTTCACCAAGCCCAGCTCCAACTTGTGCGCCGTCTTCAATCTCCTTCGCTTCCCATCCTTTATCATCCCCATCATCTCCCAATCCAATCATCTTATTTGAGTGTACCTCCTCTCCATGTCCCTCGTACCTCGCTACTGCCGCTTGCTACCTCTTGTTGCCTCGCGCCTCCGTCACCCCCTCGCCCGTCATTCACCTCCCTTGAGATTGCCTCTCTCTCTCTCGGAGAAGCAAGCGGCTCGCTCGCAGCTGGGAGCTCGCTGCTGCCACTTGGAACACTCCAGGGTTTAGGGCTTGGAACACCCCACCCACTCCAGGTACGGCCCCTCTGCTTTGCTCCCACCGTCTCACCGGGTCTGCTGCTCCCCACCTTCCACCAGTGACCAGCCTGATCACATGTGGCTTTGCTGCTCGCCTGTCTCACCCCTGCCTCGCATTTCCCCTTACCTCCTAGTGCCACGCGTTCCTCTGTGCGACTGCCATGCCACCTTCGTTGCCAGCAATCAATACCTATGTGTTGCCGTTTTCACTCCAGCATCTCAATGTTTACCATCTTCTTTCCATCTCCTGTTCTTGCCGTCTCCTGCTCTTCTCGTCCCCTACGTCCCTCCCCCCTTCCGTCTCCTTCTCCATCCCCTCTCCTCCTTTCGTCTCCTACTCCTTTCCCTCCACTCTAATCCTGCTCTGGCCCTTTCCTCCCCCCTTCGTTCCCCTCCCTCCCGCTCTTGTGGTCACTTGTGTCCTTTCCATCTTGGTCAATTTAAAATCTCTTTGGATTGGTATCTTTGTGTTTCATCTCCAAAGGTTCGTACCTCGCCTTAGCCTCACTATCTGACATGCCTGTGTGCTCCATCTGTCCATCCCTGGCCTTGTCGCCTCCCATGACAGATTCAGACTTCCTTTTCCTGCCACTGCCTCCCTCCCTCCCCCACTCCTGCCGCACCTCACTGTGCAGGCGCACGCCTTGCAGGCTCGCCCCATCAGCCGTGGCTGGGTTGACTGCAGTGGTCATGCTGCTGCCAGGGCTGCTCGTGGCTCTCCTTCCCGCCATCGCTGTCATCGTCAGCATCATGCCACTTGCCAGGAATGCTTGGCGTGTCACCACTGCAAAGGACGTGAGTGGTGCCAGCCCATCGGTGGTATGGCAGGAGTCTTATGCATGGTGCTCGCTCTTCCTTGCCATGCTGGTCTGGCTTTGCCTAGCCCACTTTAGCATAACTGCACTACGCATGTTCTTGTGTTCTTGTGGATCACTTCATGCACTCACCTGGTCTCTCCACGCTGCCTCTTGCAGGTACCACGTGACAACCAGCAAGTCAACCTCCCTCTCATGCTTCCCTGTGCTTCCCTCCCTCATGTAAGCAAGGTCTGTCCTTCTCTCCATCATCATGGCTTTATTCGATTGCTGTTCTTTTCCTTGTTCTGATGGAAGGTAGCAGGATCGCCGGTCAATGCAGTCGCACTAAATCTTTCTGTGCTTCATGTGTTCTGTGCATGCGTCGGTGACTATGTGTGCACATGAATGGGTGTGTGTGTATACGTGAGCTTGTCCCTTTTTGCGTGCATGTGTTTACTGTTTCTCAGGTCAATGTCACTGCTGCTTGTCAGAATGGCACATGCGGTCCTTTCGCTCATGCCCATGCCATTGCTTCCTCCCTTCAGCATGCCGACGCTCTCAATGTACCTCTGCACTCCCTGCACACCCTGGTGCGTGTTGGGATGAACAAAGCTTTTTGCGATTTCCATTTTGCTGCAACAAACCACTTCTGTCAGGATTCAGTGTTCCTCGGAGCTGGTAACAGATTGCCCCTTCCACAAATTTTGTACTCACTCACGTCGCGTCACTTCTTATGCCCTTGTATCCCACATTTTTCAGTCTCCAGGTGCGATTCATATGCTTGTGCTGTACTCTACCATCGCCATCGCAACTCTGGTGTCACTGCTGTGGGGGATGGGCGTGACCCACACGCAAGTCAGAGCATGGGTGCATCAGCAGTGCTTGGCTGTGACGGCTTGGCTTGGCTATGCAAGCAAGTGCTTCGTGGTATGCCATGCGCTATGCCCTCCATTGTCCATCGAGTCCACTACATTGTGCCTTTTCCCATGCTGCATATTCTTCTCCCGTATCTCATCCTCCTCTCCGCTCCACTCCCTCGCCTCACCATGCTGCAGCAACCTGGGACATACCCTCTGCTGCACAGCCTCAGGTGCCCCCTCCTCACTATTGTTCAATCTCATCCACCTGTTCTACGCATGAGCATGCATGTTATCACCTACAAATGAGATGCTCCTGCTCTACCCCCATCGCTGCTCTCTGCATCTTTTCATCTCACCTGCCCATGCCTGTGTGCTTATGTACTTCCCGATTCGTACATGTCCCTATGCTTGCACATTTCTCCTTTGCTACCTATAGCTTCCTGCTGTGTTGTAACGCTCTTACGATGTAAGCCTTTCGTATGCCTGTTCTTCTTTTGATCCTTTGACATCGTAATCTGCAGGCTGCAGCCCACACCCATCTCCCATGCTGCCTAAAGCTGATCGCACCCTTGATTTCATTCATGTGTTCTTGTATCCTCTCAACCCTCCATTTGCATTGACTCCCTAAACGTGCCGTCTCACTTTCACGCCTGCTGTGATGTGTAATGCTGTGTTGGCATATGTGCCGTTTGCTGTAATGCACTGCGTAGGAAGAATGCCTCTTTTGGGATGCAGAGACTGAATGAGGTTGTTGGGACTGTCACAGCGAGAATGGAGGCGATGGAGATGAGAATGAGGGCGCTTTATTTGCAGCTGGAAGAGATGAGAAGAGATGAGTGGCAGTGATGAGGGAGATAAGAGGGCTGGTGGAGGAGAGGGAGAGGAAGTTCGCAGCTGTGAAGAGGGAGTTGGATAAGGCTGAGCGGAGGAGAGCAGCGGATGTGAATGAGCTGAGAGGGCTGCTGGAGGAGAAGGAGAGGGATCTGGAGGAGGCTGAAGGGAGACAAGTGGCAGAGATGAGGGAGATGAGAGGGCAGGTGGAGGAGAGGGAGAGAGAGCTGGCTGCAGTGCAGAGAGAGCTGGCTGCAGTGCAGAGAGAGCTGGCTGCATACAAGGATATTATGAAAAAATATCCAGATCTGATTGTTGAGCTGTACATCAGGGAGAGTGAAGGGAACACAAAGGCTGCATGGGAGGTGAGTGCTGAGCAAAGTATTTGATAGGGCATGCATTACATGCCTTTGTCACAGTACTCATTCCTTCTATTGTCATCATTTCATCTTCATCCATCACCTCCAGCGGATCAAGTCAGCACCACGAGGAACCAATCTGAATCTGGCCGAACTCGATGGCCTCTCAGACGCCATGCTCGCCCATGTGTCCACCATGACACATCTGAGGAGAATCGACTTGCAGTCTAGCTCGGGCTTCACTTTAGAGGGCATGAAGCATCTCTCCAAGCTGCCACAGCTGGAGAAGCTAAGTCTCGTACAATCCGACAGTGCCTTGGAAGGCATTGAGTCCTTGACCAGTCTCAAGCAGCTGTATCTGAATCAGACTAAGGTGACTGATGCTGGTCTGTCACACTTAACAGCTCTGTCCTCTCTTAAAGTGCTATGGCTTTCTTTCTGCAGAAATATAACTAATGCTGGCATGGTGCATGTCGGGAGGCTGACTGGACTAGAGGAGCTTGGTCTGGGTGGTACGGCAGTAACGGATGATGGGCTGCTGCAGCTGACTGCCCTGACCAAGCTGGCAGCTCTCTGGCTGCCAGAAGGGGGTAGCCTTGCGAACGATGCTGTCCGTAGGAGGATAGGGAGGCGGCGGCAGGGAGTGATAACGAAAAGTTACCTGGAATGAGGAGTCACTGCGAAGGGGATTCCAAGGAGAGTGGTGGAGGCAAGGGGTGTGAAGAATGAGGAGAGTTGATTGTTAGTGTCGTGTCGACAGAAATGCATATGAGGCATGGAATGGTGGCCGTGTGAAACTCGTCTCGTGCCTTGCCGTTGGACAAAAGCAAGTGCAGGGCTGTTTGGGCAAGAGACCAGGTGCATGAGGTGGGGAGGCTGCTTGAGACATGCCTGCCTGCTTGCCTGGATTTAGGATGGGATGGAGCTTGTAAGGTGTCGCTTTGGCAGTATGAATCGTAAACACCGATATGACACATTTGTTACCCCTCCAATGTTATAAAAGCTTCAACCAATATTGATTTGTTTCAATCAATACTGAGGCATGTAGGCATGCACAGCAGCTTGCTAATGCCGTTTTGTTGGCAAAGCTGGATGGCAGGGCAGAGGTGAAGCAGAAGTGGGTCCCTGCCTGCAAGGGAAAGAGTAGCAATCACACATGCTGATGCATCACCCACCCACCCATACGCCCCATTCATTGGCATGCCAGAGGCATCAAAATTACCCTATGCATTCATTGGTACTACATTTCTCACTATGCGATGCAAAGCTAGCCCTTCCATTGCCAAAGCTCGTCACAATGGATTGATTCACAATCAGGGCCTCATAAGTCAGCGAAAAAAGGCTGATTTAGGTAATAGAAGTCTGAGATTTCAGACCTTTTTTAGAACTGAGGCTGATTTTTCAGCAATTTGTTGAAAAGTGTTACGATATGAAGTTTCATGAGAAGGCATTCCTGTATGCTACAGGAGCCGACTCTACCGAGTACGAAGTCGAGGAGTCAGAAGAGTCGAAGCGACGCAGCAACCGTCTGACCAAGACCGATGCAGGCAGAAACATTTGAAGTGAAAAGAGCGGGAACAGGTTCAAAACGGGTTTCTACGCCGCACGGTTTGAATTTGCTGTAATAAGGGAATGTACCCCTTAGAGTACATGGCTAGTCTAGGTCTTTTCGTATTCCTCTGTACTCTTATATAAACCGGATGTATGCATGCTTTTATCAACTCAGTCATTTACATTCACTCCGACCTGAGATTCAAACTTCCGCTGCAATACTACTCTGCGATCAACCCTGAGCGATCCTTCGCTAAGTCCCCCTTGGGATTGTAACATGGTATGAGAGCTACTCAGGGATTCTTCGCAACTTCACTTCCGTGAAATTCGCCGAACCTAGATCTGGCGAGCGGCACACGCTCCAAGACCAAGATGGCCGGTGGATCCGGAGGCCAAGCAAATCTGACGGCCGAAGAACAAACCAATCCGGCCGCGACAAATGAGGCAACGACTACGATCGGCACCGCCGCACTCGAGCAGTTATTCGCTCGACTTTCAACTATGGAGAAAGAACTCCAAGACCTGCGCAAAGGCGATGCGGGAACCTCTTCCCAACCAGCTCAACCTGGACAACCGGCTACGAAAAGCCGTGATACCGCCGCGCATACCTTCTCCCTCGACACAGACAAATCAACAACAACAGCCCCCCGTCCAAGTGATGAAGTCATTAACTCTGCGCAAGCACGCTTTCTCAGCGTTTCAAAAATCAAGACTACTGCCGCATTCGACGGCAAGGATTTCTACACATGGAGTTTTGAGCTTGAGCTCCTCCTACAAACAGCGCAGATCTACCACTACTTCGACGGCTCCTACTCTAGACCGGTGGAAGACACCGATGACGCCAGGGCTCAGTACTACAGCGAGTCCCTCATGGCGTACAGTGTGCTGCTGCGAAACATGACGCCTGCAGAACAACTTAGCATCCGCTCCTACAAAGAGAGCGCCGCTCCAGCCTTGGAAGCCTGGAAGCACCTCGTTGAGGTTTATCAGCCGAAGGACTCGGTCACCGCCAGCAGGCTCCTGCAGCAACTCATGGAGACAAAGATGGGGCACGGGGAGAAAGCGAATTCTTACATTAACCGCTGTCGCAACATCCGTGACCAGATCACGAAGCATGGGAGCGCAATCTCGGAAGAGGTCTTCGTTAACATAGTCCTTCAAGGACTCGGGCCAGAGTGGAAGCCCTGTAAAGCGCTACTCCGACAGCGAGGGATTTATCTCAGAAGCCGCGCTATGCGCCGCACTCCTGACTGAACAGCAGGATATGGACTCGAGCAGAACAAGCTCCGCGCCGCGCCGAGAGCGCCTCGCCTTCTACGCAGACAACCGTGAAGAGCGACGACAACCAAGGCGCCATTATTGCAAAATATGCAAAGTCTTCGAACACTCAACGGATCGATGCAAATCCCGATCCAACTATCGCCACCCAAATTCCACTCACCACAACAACTGGGTCGGCCGACAAGACGCTCGTCACTTTCAGCCTCAGCATCAGACATCTCGTTCTCCTGCACAACACCAACATCAGCAGACTCAAGGACCTCAATCGGGAGCTCCTAGAAACATCATCGCAAATATGGCGACGCGCCGACGTCGCACTGCTGAACCTGACGAAGAAAACGAGATCCAAGGAAGACTTCTTGAGCCAGAAGAGGGTTGGAATAATCCCCTCACTGAAAACCACTATTACCTGTACGACGAAGACGAGCAGGATTGGAATCAGCCAATCACACTGCGGGAAAGCCCGCCACATGACAATCAACACTACGTACCGGTGGGATGGAAGGAAGACGAAGACCCCTTCTTCCACAGGCGCTACAAGGCAACCCTGGTGACTCCGCGACTGGCGCTACTTCTGCGCAGAAACAACACAGACAATTACAACACTTGGTACCTGGACAGCTGCTGCGGACAGCACATGGTGGGATCCACGCGATACGTCTCAAATCTGAGCCGCGCTCCCGCAACTTACGTCACCGTCGCCAACAATGAGCAACTGCGCGCTAATGCGCAAGGCATCGTGGTCCTGCAAGCACGAGATAGCAACACACACATCTCGTTCAACGGCGTACTCTACGTCCCAAACCTTCGCTTTAACCTCCTCTCGGCAGGGCAACTTCGCGACTGCGGTGTCATCCTTACCACGGACCTCGCCACACGCGATCTCATCCTCACCTACGCTCCCCCTGACACACCGCCTGAATCGTTCAAATACCTCGGACGAGCCCGCTCAATCAACGGGATCTATATCCTAGACTTCGACGTCCCCTCCTGCCAAGCATCATCCGACGAACTCGTGGACCTCGTTCCTCTCGAGTTCGCCTACATGGACGAGAAAGCATGGGAGCACCCAGACGGACGACCGTGGGTTCGCCGCAGTCCTCATCCCCGCAAGATCAACCTGCACGAGCCAGACATCAATGGCCTCTGCACAACGTGTCATACACCCACGGCGAGCCGCACGGAGCAAGTTGAAAAGGAGTACGCAGCAATTCAGGAGACGGAGAGCGCTGAGACAGAACCCACAGGCATGGCCGAACAAGAACTCGCTGTGTCATCTTACCGCATCTTCGGCGAGCCCGGACGTCAGCGAGAGGAGCGAACATACTCCGACAACCTCCGGTTCGTCCTCGAAGCCAACACCAGCACCTTCGACGAAGAAGGACGACCGCGCCCGTACACCCGCGAGGTATACCGCCGTGAAATTGATCCGGCTTGGAAGGATCCTGACGCAAAAGAGGAGCTGAGCGTCAAGGAAGAACAAGACAAGGCCCGGGCAGAAAAGAAACAAAAGCTATATGAGGAGCGCGTTGCGGCAGGATGGGACGAAGAATCAGCACGACGAGGAGCATGGGGAGACAAAGATTACGAACCAGAAACAGGCGCAACCTGGGCATCCGCCACCGGAGCATGGGAAGCCAGCGCCAGCGGCACGGTCACAACGGGAGGATGGGGAACAGCAGAGCCCGAGGAAGGGGAGCTCACGCAAGAAGAATTGGAAGAAGCTGAACGAGAGATGAAAGCTGAACGCGGAGAAGAACCACCCCGCATTGCCATTCCTCTCGGACGACCCCCACGCACTCGCGAACCCCCACGCTCACCTCATCGTTGGAGCGATCCCTGGTCGGAGATTGAGGAGGGGAATATACCACCAACGCCTCCGCGGGACTCACTTGGTCCAATCTCTCGCCCAGATCCGTTCGCTCGCTTCATTGAAGGCACCACGACCCCGCTCACAATCATCCCCGACCGTGAATTTCTCGCCCTCTATCTCACAACGGCACCTGCAGAAGGGGAGACAACGGCAGAAGCAGAAGCAGAGAAGCCGGACAACGAAGCAGAACCAGGAGAAGAGGAAGAACCCCCACTCCAAATCCCACAACTTACCGAAGCAGAAGTAGCAGAACTTTTGGCGCGCTACAAGCGTACCTCCGGCATTCGCGCCGAAGATGACCTCTGGCACCAGCGGCTGGGCCACC